AACACGACCAAAAGTGCACCAAAAGTTATTTCTTAAAAGTGATTTTTGAATGGATGGCCTACAAGGAATATTTTTGTCTCCATTTTTTTTCCAGATATTGTAAAGTATTTTTCATCATTTGTGAGTCCAATCGACTTAACATATTGTATTGGGAATAGTTTTCTAATTTTAGCAAGATTTTCTAAAAAAGATATTGTAATAGGTGATTTTTATTTCTCGGTTCTAAGTCCTACGGACTGTATATTTTGATTCAGGAAAAGGTTTCTCTTTCACAATATTGTAATAAGTGACTTCTTTTCCTCAGATCTGAGTCTATGGAACTTCAAGTATGTTATTAGTGTGCTGGACTCACACGAACCAACCGAGTACTTTGCACAAATAAAGGAAAGTGGCAGCATTTTAATTAAGAGCTGTAAATACTTTTCTATACTGGGTACTGAGAGCTATCTTGTACTAACTTCAGTTTCTAATCTTTGGATGTTTTTGTGACAGCAAGCAAAGTTTTTGAAAAATATTCTCTCTTGGGCCCCACATTATTTGTTTAATGTCCTTGTGCCGTGTGAAGTCAGTTTTATCCCCCCCCCCCATCTTTTTGAGGTAATCGGTCTTTATGTATGTTTTGGGACGGTTTTTTTCTTAATTGTTTTACGATATTGGAGAGGATCATTTTTTTTTCTCAATTCTTGGACTATGAATCTTTACACATGTTATCATAGTAACTAGAAGCCATCCATTTGAAAAATAATACAGTATGTTTTTTTTTCTTCTTACAACTTTTGATAGAATACATTGTTTCATCCTAAATGTTGACGTTAAACATGTCTCCAATATGTCTTTATAACTCATAAAGATGGTATCCATTAGGCCTCTTACAAGCAATGTTCTCTATCTCTTTTTTAGTAATCAAATAAACTTTTTACAGTATCAATTGTTCCATGAACCGAGAGCAAGATTTGTAATGCGGATACACAAAAACAAAGTTTTTTTTGTTTATTCTGTGAGCTTAACTACATACGTGGATCAGAGCACGAAAAGCATTAATTTGATATTCTACTGATCGAATGTTGTTAGAGAGAGGGGATGTGCAGTAAGCAAGAACATTTTTTGGAGAAAAACTCAAAATTTTGTTTCGGAGAGAAGTGCCAATAGATGTGACGCTACGACTTCGGAAAACTTCCCCAAAAACTTTGCTTGGAAAGACAAATAGGGATTGTTGTATTTCTTAATTTACAAAACTCAACCTGAAGTGTACCAATAGGTATTCCCTGAAACTGATTTTTAAATGGATGGCCTGTAGGAATATTTCTTAAAATCCATTTTGTCAAGATGTAGTAAAATCCTACTTTTGTTTACTCAGTTGCAATGTCAATGGACTTTGTGTGTTGTATTGGGAATAGTTTTCTTATTTTTTTTTGCAAGGTTTTTCAAGATATTGCATTTTGTCCCGAAAACTTCTTTGATTTTGTTGTGACAACTTGGAAATCTTCCTTAATTTTGTTTATAGAATGCCTGTGACTGTGAGTTAGAATAAAGACATACCTGAATGGTTTTAAAACTTTTTCTTGAGTACGTGTTTCATTTTTATTGAAGACTTGAAATATTCGTTCTGCATGTTGGGCATGGGGGTCAACCGACGAGCTCATGCTATAGAAAGACTTATGTTTTATATAAAAGCAACTTACACTATGAAGTAACTGATGGTATAAAACAACTGAACATATATTAATCAACTGATGGTATTATTTGGAGTTAACCCCCCTCACCTTTTTGAGGCAAAGTGTACCAATCCAACTGTTAACTTACATAAACAATATTTGTGACTGCTTATTATTATATTGCAATGAAACAGTTTTGAATGTTGTGCACTCGGCCTTTCAGGGACAACCCGAGCCGAGAGTAATACAACATCCCAGCAGAAAGACTAAGTCCCCAACCGCTACACCACAGACAATTAGATATCGGTGACACGCCATTGAAAAATCATATTCTCTGACCAGGAGGGGCGCGAAACAAACGAGAACTTACTTAACTGCCAATAAAGCAAATTTTAATGGTAAGGATGAAATCCCATCTAAAACAAACAAATAAACAAAAGAATAAACAGTCTCCATTCAAACTGTGTGGTATTTTCTTTTATTGTATAACAATGTGGCTGGAAATGACACGGATACAAATAGAAAAGATGGTAGTCGCCCGTAAGCATGTACACATTTCTGGATGACGTCATTCATAAAGAAATGAATTTATTCCTCATCGGCATTGCACATAAACGATTACAAACAAAATAAATGACATTGATTTGTGAAGTAGATGTCAATCTGTTGTATGTTTCATGAAGTGAATCGTGGAAGGGGATGGCGTCCTTGTTGTTGTTGGGTTTTTTTTTGGAAAGGGGGG